TGAAGGAGCTGCGATGCAGACAAACGACTCGCCAAAAGAATGCTCCAATGACGAATGAGCTTCTGCCTACTGTTGCGAGGCCTTGGACGCACATAATTTGCAAAAGACCTTGCGGCGAATACGGCGGCTGGTTTTGGTGGGTGAGTGGGTGGTCGTTCGACTGGATGGATGGGTGGGTGGTGGGTGGTTGGGTGGTTTGGGTTGGTGCATCGGCCTAGGCTGCGCCAGGTAAACGAATGCTTGATGGAAATTGTGAAAGCTGCGCCATTGGGTGGTGGCATTACAGCCGCTGGCAAATGGCCTCGAAACGCACCACCGAAAAAACGCACTCGCACATGATTACTTCATTAGGAGAGGGGGGATGGTGGGGCCGCCATCGAAGGAGTGTGGAAAAGGATGGCAAGCAAAGGCTGGTTTGCGCTGACTAAGCAGCGGCACTGAAACGATTCCAGTTGCTGCTGCTAATGCAGCATCGGTCAGACGAGTATGCAATCTATTTGTAACTGTCTGGCAGCGGATTGGAGATGGCTGCGGTGTGGTTGGGTGGTGATGCAGCAGCAGCAGCACCACCACCACCACTCTGTGTACATTGGCTGACTGCATGCAAAATTTATGCGCTATGGCTGTTGATGTTGCTGTGCTGCGTCACGCTGCCAGACGCAACGGCGTCGCCTCTTCGGCGTGGAGGCGTGGCAAACGAGCAGAAGGAGCTCTGGTGACTGGCGTTGGAGGCGTGGCAAACGATGCGTCTACATGACAGCAAATTGTCAACCAGGCAGCGGTCAAAAATTGTTGAGCTTTGACAAAGAAGTCTCAAGTGTGTGAAGGTAAATAAATTAAATAGATATAAATTACATATTTTAAACTATGTAATAACAAACTTCATGATGACTTTCACAAATTAATAACTGTGTTGTAAAACATACCATATTAATGCCGTATAAAACCAGAGAATTTTCACCAATTACGTTTGCTATCACAATTGATATAGTGTTGTAATACATGCTATTATATATGACTGCAGCTCAGTGTTGCAAAGCGTTGTTAATTTCCAAGATGTTTTCCAACACTTTTTTCAGGCAAGTATTTTTTCTGCGGTATTTTAAGTGTTGCCAAATGCCATTAAGCAATGTTTAAGAAATTCTTGCACGCTTGAAATTAATTTGCAATTTAGAGTTTTCTTCCACTCATCTCAAATTTTAAACACAGAGTTTTGTATGAAAATTGGAAGATCTACCGGGATGTGGTTGATATTATTTCGAGCTTGTTCAATCTACTTGCTTTTGACGAGCTTCATATGTGTACTCCACTACTCGCTACACGAAACTAATCTCTTTTACCATTGACTGACATTCGCTTTTCTGGAACAGTGTTGCTAATCACTATTCCAAGTGTGGTAAATACTTGTAGATAGATGAACGAAGATTTGTCTAGAATCTAGATAGTCGCTTTTGTTGGACAGTGTTGCAAGTGCGCTTGAGTATTTCGCAGGAATTCACTCTGCAGTATTGTAAAATATCCTAAAAACATAATTAATTCACCTTTTTAGCTGAATGCGCCTGATTGCTGATTCCATACATTATCAACATTTTCTCTTTTTTTTTTTTGCTATGTCTGTATCGATACTTAACATAAGTTATTATTAAATCTATCCATATTGTATATCGCATACAAATCCCAACTTTGTTTTATTTACTTCGGACCAAATCTTTTTCGCTCTCTGACCTTACGCTGCCTTTGCCAGAACTTTGACAAACTTCCAATGCTGCAGAGAGTCGGCTGTCGTCGCATTTGTTTTGCTATTTAGTACTTTCAGGCAGTCAGACAGACGGATAGACAGATAGACAGAGAGCCAAAAGGCAAGGGCCGGCTGTGCCACATGTTGAGGGTTGGAAAAATCGATTTTGGCCAGTGCCAGCGGCGTCTGTTCGAGCTACAAATTTTTGTGTGTCTGCTGCTGTTGTTGTTGCCGGCGCTTTATCTCGGCATGCCGATAAAAATTCTGTTGTTGTTTGTTTTGGTGTCTACTTTTTCGCCCATATATATAAATATGCATACATATATATATATATATACATATAGTAGAGCCGATAGAACAATGTGTAAACCAAATGTGAAACTGTTCAATGGCCTGAAATTTGATGCGAAAATATTTCGACGATATTTTCAATGCGGCGAAATTTTTGTTGTTGTGGCAAAGTATGCAACAAATTTTGCTATGTTTGTGTGAGTGTGGGTGTGGATGCGGCTGTGTGTGTGTGTGCTCGTGTGCGTGCGTGTTTGTCTCATTTGGCATTTGAGCTGTTGCTTCCGTCTGCGCTCATTCTCTCACTGTCTCTACCCCTGTCTCTCTCACTCTTTCTCTGCCCTACACACACTCAAGCTGACAGTGCAATTAGCACATGAAGCAGCATCTTCTCAACATTTGAAGAGTTTTGGCCATGTGGCTCTTTGGCCCTTTCGCTGTAGTTGCGAGGCTCAGAGCACGCCAGGCCAGCCAGGCCAAGCCGGAGCCCGCTTGCCACTTGGCATCGTTTAAGCTTTTTCCTTTTTCGCTTATGTTCTCTGACAACGGGCGCCGCGAGCTGCGTACGTGCCTTGCTAGAAGCAGCGCATCTGTCGCCCCAAAACGTGACACCATGGACACCTGACTGACTGTTACTGTCTCTCGCTCTCTTTCTCTCACTCACAGCCCCCTCCTCCCACTCTTTTTCTTTCGCTATGCCTCGTCCTGCATCCTGGCCAACACTTCCATGTGATTAAGTGCACTTGGCCTGCGACGGATGCGCTAAAACAAAATCTTATGTAAAAGTTCAACACGCTTAACTGCACTTCGCTGACGGGTTAAACGGTTTCATTTTTTATTTATTTTTTTTTTTATTTTGAAAAAACTTAAACTGAACTTAAAGAGGTGCTAGAAAATGAGGGATCAGCATTAAAAAATAAACTCAAGTGATAATAGAAAACTGAACGTTGAACTGCAATTGGGTATCAAAAATAATTCTTTGCTTGGCGTGAATGAGACATACTATAAAAACAAGTTAAGAAAATACGAGAAAAGTATGTAATCAATATATATTCTCAATGGGTATTTTGCAAAACAAGAGACAAAAATTTGTATAAAACCTAATATATAAATATATTATAATATAAGTATATATATTATAATAAAATTATTTGTGAACTGCATGGCAAAATACCCTTTCAAATTTTTTTAAAATATATTAATATATAATAATTTTAAAACTTGATATCGTAATTTCTGTCTTCATAAATATTTAATATTTGATTTATTTTTTAAATTACAATTTTCATTTTTTCTTAAAAGATTTAATTATAAATTATTATTATTTATATTTTTTTTACATTTATTTATGCAAAATAAATGTTGATTTATAACTTGCAAAGGGGATATCTCAGTTTGATTCATTCAATTTCACGGTATAAATCCGAAATTAAAAATGTGAAGTCAGCGTATATTTTAAGATATAAAATCATATTTTTTTAAAGCCGCTTTGCCCCTCAACTAAGCCTCTTTATATACATGCCTTTGAAATAGAGAAATTCGGATAATAATATAAATGGCATCGCCATCGCAATGAATAACATTTGCTGCCGTCCTTGGCAATCGTTAGAAAACTTGAATGTAAATCAAATAATGTGAGAGAGCACCCCTTTCTGCTCTCGCGTTGCATCAAATGTAATTCATATGACAGTTGAAAATCAAAAAAGACCAGAAAGTACAGAAAGCACTCGCTGCTGCTGCTGCTGTTGGTGCTGTTGGTGCTGCTGCTGGTTGATAGCCTCAAGAGCGAGTCTCACTTGCCCACTGCACTTCAACCCCCAAAATGACAACAACAAGCAAAGCAACTACAGTTATGGTCGAAAACTTTATCAGGAATAGAATTTTGGTTCTGCTTCTGGCTCTTTGCCGCCGCCATCCCCTTTGACATATCAGCCGAAGGGTGCGGGCTCTGGGCAAAGTATGGGGTGAGAGCCTTACCCCAAAAACTGATTGAATGAAACAACTAAGCCAATAGATGCATGTATGTGTTTGTGTTTACTTATATGTATGTGTGTGTTGCAATCGTTAGCTGATAGGGGTGGCTGAAGTGGAGCCAATGCACGAGTCTATCGAGTCGTTTCGCAGGTAATTATTATCTGATATTCTGTGGGGTGGTTCAATTCTATGAAAAATATTATCGCTGATAACGAAAACCACTCACTAACGATGTAAAGAAATAATTACTAGTTGAGCGCTTGAGAAAGTTTAATATGTATTTGTGATCGATGTCCTGTATCCAAAAAAAACTCGGAAAATCGATAAGTTTTAGTTAAGACGAATAAGAAGAAGAGTCTTCTATACATTTTATAAGCATTGAAAACCTTTAAGTCTGTTGTTTATTGATAGCTCGAATTTGAGCTGGCGAAAACCATTTATCGATCAATTATTTTTCATGCCATTTTCAAAGCTTTCTCAATTTGAATTATGAAGTTTTCTATTGAATTATATGATGTTAATATATATGTAATTGCTTTTCGATCAAAATTAAAGTAACATTTGTTATGTTCAAGTTATCGATACATACATAGTGTCTATAAACAGAATATTATAATATTATCTAGAATATTATTCTACATACGAAAAAGTTGACTTGACTTAAAAATGAGTCTAGCTTAATATATCGATATACGTATGCATATCGATATGAGTAATACTCGAATTATCGAAAACGTTAACTATATGTCTATATACATATATTTTATATTCATTACTGTACATAGTTAACATATTTATAAAACAAAATAAAATATATCATCAAATCAGAGCATTTCTATCAACTCAATCGATTAATATTTATCGATAACACATTTATTCTGCTGACCATAAACCATCCTCTATTTTATATTGCCCAAATTGATCATTTAATCGATTTTGAAAATTCGTTTATCACATATCGATATTTATCGATGTGTGCTATGTCATGGATGGCACTTACCCGTGAATGCATGGTGACGTCGTTATCTCCAGCCTGCACGCCTGTGCGTATCTTTTTATTCTGGGGTCCCTCGCTGACGACGATGGTGGCCCCGCCACCGCTTACGCTGCTGCCTGCTACGGCACCGCCGACTCCACCGCTGCCGTTGCTAGCACCGTTATAGGGCATTGTGGTCGCCGTGTTATAGTTGAACGAAGCCTCCGTCGTGCTGAGCAGTGTTTTTTTCGATAGAATCTTGACGTTTACTTTCTGGCCGCAGCCTATTTGCACAATTCACAATTTAGTTTAGTGGACAACTAGCAATCTGATGCGATGCACACTCACGGGCGTGTGTGTGTGTCTGTCGATGTGTATGTGTGTGAGTGTGTGTCAATATATGTATGTTAGCTTGTGTTTGAGTGTGTGTGAGGGTGTTTGTCGCTTTTGCTGTGTGACTTTCACTTGAGAACGCAGAACGTAACACAGAATTTATGCACCTGACACGAAACTCCACAAAACTTGTATTTCGGGTGAGAGGGGGGAGACAAAAATTGATTGCTAAAAATGTTGATTAAACTCGCGCGCGATTTTCCAAGCTCCTCCGAATTCGAAGAGTTGTAAATATATATATTTTTATCGATATATATATATAGGTATTGAAATGTTGATTTTATTTTTAGCTCTATTTCCGTTTTCAAACACTTATTGCATCAACTTGAACTTTCAACCGCATTTGACGTTTTCTTCGTCGTCTTCTTCTTCTTATTGCACTTTCAATTTGCGTGTTGAACGAGATTTAATTTTAATCGCTTGCTTTGTGTTGTGTTTGTAGAATCAGCTGCAAATAGGCAGGAAAAGAAAGAGAATGAAAATGAGGTTAATAAAACAGGTGAAGTCAAAGAAAAATATCAAAACATAGCAGACACATTGAGTGAAAATCGCCAATGCAAATTGTGGTAAATGTGGGGAAAACTTTCTAATATATAATTGAAAATTAATTTTATAGGTAAATATTGTTCTTCTTTTTTTGTAGGCCAAGCAAATTGTTGATACGGTAGATATTCACTAAGAGTAGAGAGAAGTTATTCATATTAAATCACAAGCCTCTTTAGCGAGTATCCACTGTCCACAGCCTAACTAGTAAAATAAATATTTATATAAATAAAAATACACATTTTATATAAAAAAGTAATTATTTGCATTAGGAATTCTCTAAGCAAAATATAAACAAATATTATATTTATAACCATGCAAATATATCATTTAGAATTTATTGCCTATATAAATTATAAAGCTCATGCTAAAGAAAGGCCAAAGAAATGATATACATAGTAAGTTATACATATATACTACATATTGTGTGGCTTATCTAACTGTTGATAATTTATTTTATCTCAGAACTATGCTCAATTAGACACTGAATTATCAGCAATCATATCAATCATATCGATTGCCCTATTCAAATAGGCAAATTCAACTTATCAGCAAAAAAATAAACAAAAAAAAATATTGTATATGCCAGATGTAGATAATTTTATGTGCGTATTGTTTAGCGCAAATAGATGTATATATAAACAATAGTTAGTTATAAACATATGGCAAAATACGCGAAAGAAAAATATGGAAATAATAAGAGAGGCGATTCGCATGTGGCACAGCATATGTATGTGTGCACGAATTAATTTTGAAGATAAATCAAATGAATTAATATTATCAAATTACTATGCCTAAAACATAAATTTTTTAATATTATACGACAAAAAAAAAAAATCAAAATAAAAATATATAATTTTATTTTATAATATTATGTTGTGCAGCTATGTCTCAGAATTTAATGCAAGCATAACAGAATCTTGTTTGAATAATATTAATAAAGCAACAGGAAGCTTTTCATAACAGCCAAATATATAGTGTAATTAATCAGATAATATATATATTTGTTATATATAATTTGTGTTATATATTTTTATGATAAGCTGCAACAATGGGGAATTCATTCCAATTGGAGACTCGAGAGCATAAATCAGTCGCAGCAGCAGACAATAACATAATACACACAGACACAAGCACACGCACACAGAGAGACGTGAATTGCAGAAACAACCCTCGTAGAGACGAGCAGAAGAAGAAGTAACGGTAAAGGCAGCCACAGCAGCCGCTGCCAAAAAGCGCCGGCAAAACGGCAACGCTTCGATAGGAAGAAAAATTAAAGAAATATGGCCGAAAAGTGTCAAAATGAATGCGAAGGATAGCGGTAAACGGATAGCTGTAACAAAGCACACAGGCGAACAGTTTGACAAGTGTGTGGCAGAAGGAGCAACAGCGAAACAGCAGCAAATGTGCATGGCGAAAAACGAAATGGAAATGAAACACGGCCAGCGTATAAACTTTGCACAGCGGCAAAACCGCGTACAAAAGTAAACTTGAATAAGTTGTTGCTATTTTTTTGCTATTGCTATTGCTTTCCTTCTTAGTTCTTTCTATTACTTTCTGTTGTTTGTTTGCTGCAACCCTTAAGGGAAAATGGGAAAATAGAATTGCTAGAGAATGAAGAAACAGAGGACGAAGAAGAAGCAGCACAGCGGCGGCGGCGGCGGCGACGGCAGCGGCCACTGTTGATTTCTGCTTTGTTTGTGGGGGCGCTCGCTTGGCCAAAAATGCCGGGGGTTGATTTTTCATTAATGAAACACACAAAAAAAAAGCCGCGCGCTGGAAAAGCGAACGAACTTTTTAAACACACGCACACAGGGACACAATCACACATACACACAAGGCCTTTTATTGTTGTATTTCATTAAGCTTTTCACAAATTTTCTCTTGCGATTTACCACACTTAAAAATGGCGGCGAACAACAGTTAATTTTGCTAGAAACTGTTGAATTTGTCAGTTCTTGTTTTTGTTTTCCACTATGAATATGGCTAGAATTTACAGACTTTGTTTTATTTTTTTATAAGTCCATAATAATTGAAAAGTATTAAAATATTTTAAATGCACAAAGTGTTTTGTTTGTAATTATTTTCAAAGTTTTTTTTTTTTAATTAATTTAATTTATTTATGTTCTTTTTTTTTTTTTTTTTTTTTTTTTTTTTTTTGTTTTTAATTGTTGCGAAAGAAAAAAACTGCACTCTGTAAATTTAAAACTGTCAATGGGCTTTGGTATTTGCAATGACAGTTAGACGGCGCCTACTTACAGTTAACTTTGACAATTGACAATTAAATTCGCTCTCAGACACATACATATGCGAATATGTGAGGAAAATTGTAACTGCGTTTTTATTTGATTTTAATTTGATTTACTTATTTATTTATTTATTTTTTTCTTTTCTTTGTAATTTGTATTTATTTTTGTGTGTTTCTGTGGTGTGTAAAGTGATTTTCATCCGTTATATTGAAGACTTCTGCTGTTGTACACTTCGGCGCCGCGCTGGCGAATGACGGTCAAATAAGAAATGAAAACCTGTGAGAGCCGTTCGCAAACGTCAACGTCGGCTCTTTTTGTCGTGTGCAGCAAAAATACGAAGCGTTAGCAGCGACGGTGGCAGCGAAAGAGAGTTGGCTCACGCACGTCGCACAGGTAGCTGTTAATAGCAGCAGCAGCAACAGCAGCAGCTGCACGCGTTTTGATAGGGGTTGCAATTGGAGAGAACGACTACAGCATAAGAGCGGCACAACGCCAGCGAGAGAACGTAAATTCGTGAGAGTGAGGGAGAGGCAGGCAGCCAAGAGTAAAAGTACCTTGTGCTTTTTTTATGCTGCCCTTTTTGTTTGGCTATTTCGTGGGTGGCAAAGCGAGCTCCTACCGGTTACGTTTTGTTGTTGCTGCGAAGCAAAATAGCAAAGCAAACGCCGCGCTAAGAAAACTTTACAAACTTTTCAGCAAAGATATTTGCAATGCACAAACCAGAGACACATAGTCACACACAGATACGCACGAGCACACACGTAAACACGTAATAACCGTATGCATGTACATAATTGCATATGTATGCAATTCGATGCAAGTGCAGGCACAATGAAACGGTAAAATAACACTTTCACCCGTTAGGCGTCGGCTTTTCTGCTTACCTTGTGTTTTGGCTGGTTGTTGTCGATGTTTTCTATTTTGTTTGTATATATACTCCGCACTGCAAATTATATTGTTGCTACTGCACTTTAATTATAATTAATATAAATAGTGTTTGTTGCTTTTTTTGTTGTCTAAATTCGAATGCAAACGATAATTTGCTGTTGTTTTGTTACGACTATCGCGTGTCCGCGCTGCTTGCTGCTTACTTCTCGGCGGCCCTTTTAAATACAACACAAACAAAACGAATGCGACACGGTGGTCAGACGGAGACAGCAACAACAGAGCAGAGGCAGTGACACAACCGACAGAGATAGTTGGCACCCAAAAAAAGCAGCGAGAGTGTTGCTAGAACGAGAGCAGCAACAATCGAGTTCGAGAGAGAGTAATGCGAACGTGTTTGCGTGCTGTGTGTGTGTGTTTGAGAGAGTGTCTGGTCTGTTTGTGTGTGTGTGAGTGTGTGTATATGTGTGGTTGTGTGACGTCGACGTCAATGCGGCGAGGCGAGAGAGCGAATACAGCCGCACGCAATGGAAAAACTGGCGCGGCGACGAGAACGACGACGCGCGCGGAAGTATTTAATTAAGCCCAAAAAAAGTATTTAATTTAAATTGATGGCTATATGCAAAATGCACACACATGTACGTAAGTGTATATAAACACATATACAATACAATTATAACAATACACACACAAATTGCCGTCTCTCGCTGTTGTTGTTGTTGGATTTGGATTTGGATTTCTCGTGTGCGCTTTTCTGCTGCTTGCTACTGAAAGGTTTTCAACCGTGCGCCACAGTGTCTCAATTCGTACTGAGAAAATGAGCGGCGCGCTCAGCGGTAAAAAACCACATTTGCCACATTGTGTGTGAGCAGTCCGGCATATACACGCTCGTTCGCTCGTGTAAACGCACACTCTCTTTTACAAGCGTGCGCACCTCGCACCACAGCCGCAGCCACAAATCGAACGGAACAAACACACAAACTCGCACGCAACGCAAGTGCTGCCGCTGCCTAGCGGCTGGCGGCTGCCTGCTGTGCTTGCTGAGAGCGCGTAACCAGAGCGCGCAAGTGAAATACGCTTGCTCTCTCGCTCCCACTCTCCCACTCAGCGTTGTAATGAGCGCCGGAGCGTCGTTTTCAATGTACATAAACATACGCATGTATATTTTGTGTGCGTGTGTGTGTTTGTGTGTGCCCGCTTTGCTCAGAGTGTTGTTTTTGTTGTTTGTGACTGGCAAAAATCGTGCACAGTGGTCAAAGGGTGATCAAAATATGTCGTGTTATAGAAGTAATGGTGGCTAAATAATTCAAATTTGTTGCTCTTGTGTAATTAAATATAATTTATATGTAGCAGTACTATTTATTTACAGTTTTGATCATTTTCTATTCTTACTTAAATTTAAAAAAAAATATATTTTTATCATCGCTGCACAATTAATAAACATTTAATACTTATCTAAAAATTATGCACATTTTAATTTCTTTATAGTTTCCAATTTTATCGATAGGTCCACTGATTGCCAGTTAAGCAAAGAGCGGAAGTACTTTGCTGTGCTCTTAAGTGTAAGCTTTGCTCTTTTAATTTCGCTCTCGCTCACCCACGCGCAACAACGTTTGTGTTTCAACAGCTCTCTGCAACTCGTTGCATTTTTATGCAGACGCCACAAATGCTTTAACAGACTGCTGTTAAACAACAGTGGAGTTACTCTAACAGTCATTGAGTTTAAAATTAACAGCGAATGGAGCTATGTTAATTGCATTAAACGTTATTTTGAATTGTTCAAAAACAAGAAATTTTATATTCTATTAAAATATTATATATAAGATATTTAAATAGCGACAAGTAAAATAATATAAAATATTATCTGTGAATAAATAAAATATTTTAACAATATTTTGATATATTTATTTTTGAATGGGCCAAAAAATAAAAGAGTTGCGAAACAGATTCTTCACCTATTTAAGCACTCCATTAACACGTCTCTTATCAACTGTGCAGCACTCAAAAGAGAAAGGCGAAACAAGAAGAAGAATAATAGTAAAGGCACGAGATGCTGCGTGCTTTTCCTTCCTTCTATTAGTTTTTCTTTTCTTTCTATTAAATTTCAGATGCGGGCGCTTCGAGAAACCAGCTGGACAACAATGGTAACCAGGACAGTCAAATAGCAGGACATGCCACACCCCCTGCCCCGCTGCCCCGCTGCACCCAGCACACTGCCAGTTAAGTCGCATACAGTGCACATGAATGCCGCTCGATGGCGTTCGCTACGTGTTTTGCCGCTTCACCTCCCGCCGCATTGGCATTGGCATCCTTGCCGAGGCTCAGGCGCTTTTCCTTAATGCCAAAGTGCAGGACAACAGCAGAGGCAGCAGCAGCAGCAGCAACGACAACAACAACAACAACAACAACTGCTGCAAGCTGCCTGGTAAACAACATAAACTATTTAGTCTATGCGTGCGTGTGTGTGGGCGTATGGGCGTGGCCATGCATTGGTAACAAGCGTGGGCGGCATCTAACTGCTGGCATATACCCAGCACTGGAGCTAATGGCAATGAGGCATATCAGTTCTTTAAATCAATGTAAATTTAATCAAATAAAAAATATGTTTTTGTTTTAAGCATTTAGAAAATCTGAAATATATTATTTGAACTTGAATTAAAAAAAAAAAAAATAACATGTTTATACATATATACAGTAGAATCCCCATAATACGGAATGGAAAGGAGATCAGTTTTTTTTTTTTCGATCTACAAAGAAATTTAGATTATTGGGAATTATTAACAACAAAGTCCTTTCAAGGGGATAGATTTTTTTTTTATTTATCGCGACTTTTGATTTAGCGGGTTACGAATCATAGAGACTCGACTGTATATATTTTCTTTCTCTTGTTTTGTACACAAAAAAAGTTTTGTTTAGATATTTTGAGTCAAAGTATAAATTATTTTAGGAACAATAACTCAAATATGTCTTTAAATTTGGAGTAAATCCAATCGATGCCCCATAGCTTATATACCATAACGATTTTATTCAGGAAATTTTTGGTATGCTTTACGCTAAGTTTTCGATGTAAATTTCTATATCCACATAGTTGATTTTCTCCATTTAAATAAAGAGGGGAGTTTGTGGAGTTTATGTCATACAAAAATCAATTCCAATTGCATATATCCTTTGCTAACTGTCTCTGTACTAAAACATACAGGGTATTTTCAGGTCAGTTGCTCCTGGTATTGACCTGGCTTAAGTCTCCCCTTTGGCAATTCAAGCAAAACTCTTTGCCAATGTTTGCATCATAAAATATGGATTTAGTTCTGCATGCGTATGTATATATATGTGTGTGTATGTGTGTGTGTGGAAGGGCATGTATGTGTGTGTATATGAGTGTATGTAACGGTCGAACGCACTTATCGATGGAAAATATGTTGCAGTTGTTGTCATTGTTGGCATCGCATTCACACTTGTTGCCCGCTGGTCTCTGAATGCAATCTTTTCTTCCTCTTCTACATAATATTATTGCTCTTCTTCTTCTTCTTCTTGTTCCTTTGTTAGCCCATACAATTAAAATGCTTATATAAAAAAAAAAAAGAATTGCAGTTTTCTTAGCCAAGGCAAACATACTTTCGAGTGCTCAAATCTTTATTGAGCAGTTGCATAACAGCCAGCTTTGTGTCATTCTTGGAGATTAACATTATAGGAAAGTGAGTTATTATGTTATGTTATGTTAGATTAGAAAGAGAGAGAGAGAGAGAATGAAATTGTGCTTAACATATGTACAAACATGGGTAAGAAATAATTTGTTTCTTTTTGTGAATTTCGGAATCAAACAGAGTTTTCAGTTTATCAAAAATATATTTAATATCTAAACAGCATTATTAAACTTATGCTTGTATTTTGCTTTGCTTTCGTGTTTTAGAGCTACTTTTTAAATAATTCTAAATTGCTTCATCCACGCTTGAGTTATTCGCGCCTAAATGGAACACATTCAGCCTATCAAATTATCATTATCAATTAGCCACACTACTTTAATTAGATTCCCATAACTTGAGCAAATTGCAACAAAATACATATCAAGCAAATCGAATTTACTGAAAAATTAGCTATTTCATAATGAATGTGATTTTATTTTAGCTACTCTTTGATAAGGAAGTCGTTTCTGGCTCATCAAATCATCTAATATTAAGATGTGGTTTACCAAGGCTAACTTAAAGCAGTTATTTTTACAAAAGCAGCAAAGTTAAACTAGGTGAAGAGGCCAGCTTTGCTGTAGAAGAAGACTTGCTTTATAAAATATATAAAATTAAAACAAAAAAATTATTTAAAAAATATTAAATTAAAATTAAATTATAACAAGAATAAGTACATATTTTATAAAAAATTTATTATAACTTTATAAATATGGGGAAATTCTTTCTTCTTCTTATTAAACTACGTTTTCCCTCTATTGGGGGCTCTACTTGAGTGAATGTGTTATTGAATAATTTTTCTTCTAGACGTAATCAATATGAAAGATTTATGTAAAAAGTTCTAAGAATAATGCATTTAAAATTCTTAGATCTTTGTACATCAATTAATACAATACAGCAATTATGCAATATTTTTCTCTAATTTATATTAAAAATAATAAGTAGTTGTAGTAAATAGCTATTCATCAGCTCTCACATTATTTCAGTATTTATTCCAGTTATCGTAAAGATCTAAGATCCCTCTATTTAAACTTAATATTTGTCTGCAATATTTCTTTAAGTTTAAATAGAAAGTAAACAAAGAGTAACTAACTCAAATACATCTAAGTTCTCATACTACTTCAGTATTTTAGTTCATCTCATGTTTGCCACTTTACCATTTCTTGCTACATCATCGAGTAAAGTCCTTGCTGGCGCTCAAATCTTTAGCTTATTTTTCTAACCCAAATCCTCAACTTTCACCCGATTTCTGAGTGCTGCACTTTCGCTCACTCTCACACGCCTTAAGCCACTTTCTATGCAAAATCTAATGCACCTTTAAATGTCTGAATATGATGAAGCATGGGCTTGCTCTGCTTGGCTTCTCTATTGGCTACCACTCAAACATGCTAACAGAGCGCGTTGCTGTTGTTGTTGCTATTGCTGTTGCTGTTGCTGTAGCTGATAAGCTGCTGCTATCAACGCCTTGCACCCAAAGGCCCCCCCCTCGCTGGTACACATCAAGCAGCGCAGCATCCGCTTCCGTTGCGCTGCAGCGTCAGCTTAGTATCCTGTTTTGCCCAGATTTACAGCTGAAACTCCTTGAAATACCATGTATGTGTCTGTGTGTGTGTGTGTGTGTGTTTATCTGTGGCGTTGCCGGAAAGTGAAACGTTTATGAAAACGTCCGGCTAGGCATACCACAGCCCACACACACACGCACACACTTACATACATACACATCCTTAAGGCATGACCTTCCTTGGTTTCTGCTATGCTAAATTTCATATTAACTTTCATCAGCTAATTTCGCTAGCTGAACAATGCTTGAAGAATTTAATATCCTACTCGTTTCGACGGACCCCTGGAACACTGGACGCTGGCTAAGTGTGAATGGTAGCCATGAATCCTTTTCTCCTTTTCTCCAGCTCGCACTGGCCCTTGTCCCAAGATAAACAATCAAGTCTTGACCCAGTTCTATGCCACTCGTTTGCCTTGCCCTTTGTCATCATCATCGTCAGTAAAAGCAGCACCAGCAGCAGCTTTGACATGGACAAGTCACAAGAAAAAAACTACTTCTAAAATATGATAAAAGCGAGCATGTTGAGCTCCAATGATGCCCTGTAGCTGAATACAACTATAGATAAACTAAATCTAAATCTATGAGATAAGTTAGTAAGAAAGTCATTCTATCTCCAAATTTTATATTTAAAACAAAATTGTGAATTATAAATAAATAAAATAAAAACACAATAAAAAAACTAACCCTAACCCTAAACTCCTAATTAATAAAAACTATAAATATCTCAGCTGAAAAAAAAAAAAAAATTAATAAATTTTTAGCATAGACTTTATGTGATTATTATAAATAAAAATAATAATAATAAATAATACTAAATATCAAATTTTATGTAATCTATTGAACTAGTTAATTGCGATTAAAGAAGTGTGAAAAATAGTTTAAAATATATTTATTCATTCCACATCGAATATTTTTAAGTTTATATTCATAAACAATTTTAAGAAATGTTAAAATATTTAAATGAGATAGATCAGCAATGGGTTTAATATTTCATCTTGTAGTGTATATCTTGAGGCAAGTCATATATTAAATATCTGTATGTCTAAAAAGTTTGATGATTTGCAATGGATGAAGCATGGAGAGCATTTATGATTTTAAGTGCAAAGGGATAATAAATATGTTGATATTTTAAAATTGTAAATATAATGATTGGGTTTCATAATTCTTAAGCTCATAGAATATAAATAAGCAGAAAATATAATAATAAAAATATATATCGTATCGATATAATATTGTGAGCTGATATATTGCAGTGAATAGAAGAGGTTGTCTAGGTTTCCCTATTCTCTTAAATACTTAGTCCCTAGTATGACAGAAATATTAGTGTAAAGCTGAGAGTCTGTAGAGAATTGTAAAAGTGATATCCTAAAATACCCTTAATGAGAGAGAAAGAGAGAGAGTCCGAGTGAGAGAGTGCGATGCAAAGATAGCTGTTGCTTTGCGCAGTCCAAGGCCTTGCTGAGTGAGAGCGAGATGGCTAGTTAAGCCATTCAGCAGGATCGTTATGATAGTCCGACGAAATAGAAGAGAAATTATTTATATAGTATCGCTTACCCTAATCAAATATTAAGTGTCTAGTTAATACATAAATGAATTAAAATAAACATAAAATTTAATAAAGATGCTCAGATCTTGCTCACTTTCCTTGTATCCCATTCAAAATATTTTAATAGGGTATAAGAAAAACGAAATTTTCGTAAGAATGAGATGAAAAATCCGCCAAGTTTACATGCAGAAATGTGCGCTAACCCAAAAATTGAGACAGCTTTGCCCCGTTGAACACACACAAACACACACACACACGAACATACATACATGTATATAACCCAATATATTTGACTATAATACAATTTCTGTTTTGTTTTCTTTTCGCTTAGAGTCGATCTGGGGCTAGGAGCTAGGTGCATGGTATATGGGCTCTGATGAGTGGGTGGGGAGGCTAAAGTGCAGTCAGACAGCCATTGGATCATTTGTCTTGGCATTGTTGCCTTTACAGATTTCTTTTTCCTGCTGCTTTTTATTGCTGCTGCTGCTGCTGCTGCTGTTGCATGAAAGTTTCGGCTTCGTAGAGCTGCAATGGGGCTTATGGGTTTATAGGCAGCTTATAGGACAGCCGAAGCAAACGAAAATGAAAGTATGCAAATAGTACTTGACAGTTTGGTAAAGTTTTGCTCAAAAAAGTCAAGAACGATAAAAATAGATAACTTTGAAATAAATAGAAAAACACATTTTGACTCAATAAGTATTAGAAAACACTTAAGAGGAGATGGGCTGGCAAACGGAATGAAAAAAGGATATAAAAAAGTTAATCGAGATAGGTTGTTAAAAGAAGGGTATATTATAAGAAAGGGTATATTATAAGAAAAATATATTGCAGGCATTTAAAAAAAATAAATAGAATACTGAAATGAATTTTTTCGTTAAAGCAATTTAAACAAATTAATATAGAACGGAAGTTAAATGAGTAAAAATAAATATTTAAATATAAAAATATATCAATGTAACAATATAACATTATAACAATATAAAAATATAGCAATATATCAATAAAAAAAGTTTACTTCTACTTAACTAAAAAAATATAATACAAATAATTTAATAATATAAAAACATAATTAAACAATTTATGCTTAAGTACTACATTGAAGCTAAGCTTAAGATCATATCAATAATCTAAAAAAATCCGTGCAGGGTATCGCTTCAAAAAATCTATAACAAAAAAAGTAAAGAAAACTATAAAAGAAATTTCACCAAAAATTACAATCTCACACAGACTCACACGCACACAATTTAGCCAACGATACGAAACAAAAAAGAAAGAAAAAAATAAAAAATAAAAGCTAAGAGAGCAACAGAATCAGGGACCTGACTCTGACACTGAATGTTCGGAGCAAATGAAGGTGTCAAAATGACAGGCAGACAGCAGCAGCAACAGCAACAGCAACAGCAGGAAAAAAAGAAAATAAAAACAGAGCAGGGAAGGAAACGAAGGCCTCGGACAGACACACACACATACACACACATGGATAGACGCCTGCCTGGCTGGACGTGCAGTGCAGATGGATGGATGGCTCTGTTGCAGTGGATGGCATAGCACAGGGTATATACATACATACATATATATATATAGAGGGTATAGCAAAGGGATAGTCTGTCTGCCTGGTTAACTGTATAAACGCCAAAACGACAGCAGCAGCAGCAGCGGCAGTGGCAGCAGCTAACTTGCACCATCAACAAGGACAACAAAAACAATAACAAAACACAGACTACATAATTGTATCTGTTTCTATGTATCTATACGCTGGACCCCGTGCATTGTGTTGCAGTTACGTGCTCGATGGTCCAGCAAAATGGCGAAATAAAAAGTGAATGAATGGAACCTAAAGCCATGGCTAAAAACTCACTTTGTGACACCGTTGGCTAAGACGAATGGCAAATGCTCTCAGTGAATGGGTTTCAACAGGGATTTGCTTAGAAGAATTTGTAAAAATTAGAGATATATTGCTTATAACAAAGATAAAGGATAGAATAGACTATGAAATTGAAGTTTGTAATATTGTGTGATTAAAAAGAGGATAACAAAATTTTATTATTATTTTTATTATTATTAGTATTAGTATTATAGTTTAGATAATATAATTTTTATAATTGTATGTTATTAGGACTACGTGCTTAAGACCTAACAAGGGCTTAAAAGTTTAAGACAAGAGTTTAAGATTACAGTTAAACTACTGACAATTTAATACCTAACAGTTGAAGGCGTAACCTTTAGTTAAGTATAAAAAAATTAAATAAAATAAATAAAAATATATTTAAAATATTCCTAATTCAAAGCCAAACAACATTCAAATCTATATTTGCCTATAGATATACAATAGTTGATGAGATAACATATTCATAAATGTTTACAGGATTTAGAAGCATATCACCTATGATATAAAAAATAAATTTAATTTTATATTTATAAAATTAAAATAATTTTCTCTAGATCTGAGTTTTTGAGACTTCTAGAAAGAAATTAAAATTAAAATTGAAATTTCATTACCAAAATTGAGGCCTATTTTGAAATTAAACATAAAGAGCTCTATTAAATGTTCGAAAAATATGATAAACAGTATCATCATTTTATCATCTTAAAGGCAAATTAGTTACTAAACCCAAGTAATATTGAAACAAAATAAATATTTGCTGTTACCCAACGAACTTTTCAGCCTACCTGTTAAATATTATATATTCAAAGAAAAAAAAACTCTCATCAATAAAATCTATAAAATTTTAATAGCCCATAACAGTAAGTTGGTAGCACGAGCTCAATAAATTATGCACCGTAGTTACATTAAATATTTGGCTAAAATAACCTCAACAGCCCATCAATCTTGTCTGTGTGAGCCACCCTCTAAAAATATAGAGTATATATATGGCCGTCTATAGGGACAGAGGGGCGGCAAAATAAAAAAAAAAGCTTAAAGACTTTGGCCAACTACTGACATGATGGCCAAATGCCAAAGCGGATTTAAGTTGTAGCAAAACTTTAAATGAGTTCAAGATTGTAGATTTATCCCAGCCACGCCCATCATTTGTGTGAGGCTGGGCGTGCCCGATGAAGCGTAATGATGATGACTTTGTTAGATTGATTGATTGCTGGCACACAGAGATTGAGCGGAGCAGAGGGCTGGCAGGCGTGGCAAGGCACAAATCGACAATTTACAATTTACACTTGAAAATTTCTCAAAAAAAAAAAAGCAAATCAGAAGGAAAATATTTATATAGAGATGTATATGAATTTTGCATTACTCATACGCCGCGTTATTAATAAATAGAGTGAAAACGCATCAGCAGATGACCAATTAAATTTTCATGTATTCGTTCGTTTTTTTTTTTTTTTTTTTTTTTTTTTTTTTTGCACTTTTTTATGTCACTCATGAACCGGAAATGCCGCCAAGGTTTCTGTTCGAGCACAAACAATTTCAGCTCAGTCGCAATGGATCAGTGGACGGGCGTGCATCGGGCGTTCATAATACGCGCCTATTATAGAAATAATGATTCCATAAGCACAGCGCAGCGCATGTTTAAGAAACAGTTCAGCATTTATCAGATTCCGCCCACAAATGTGATCAAGAGCTGGCTGCGGCACTTCGAGTGCACGGGCTCCTCTCAAGCGGGCGGCTGCACGGCGCGTTCCTCTCTTCCCGTACGATCTATCGATCTATCTTTATTTATATTTACCAATTATGAAAGTGAAACGAGTATATGGGTTTTGTGGAATGCCCCGACTTGCTGTTCGTCCGTTCGTCTGTCCGACCCTCCGTCTGTCGAATAATATGAAAAGTCAAGATTTTCTGCCCTCTAGGGGTAAGAGTATTTTTCAACATTTCTGCTAATATAAATTCAAAATATTCGGTGGATTTATATACGCCTATTTGGCGCCTTGATCTGACAGCATTCGGGTTGTGAATGAGTATTCTGCAGTCGGTAACGTCCGACTGCTAAGCTCTTACTCGCCTTCTATTATACTAATAAATGCCTCTTCTCTTACAGCAAATCTTCTGCACCATTTGCAATCAGTGCCTGAGCAATGAGAAGAATTTCAGCAGCTCCATCAAATAGTTTAACTTGATTTTAAGTATTCAATTCTTTTCTATAGCTTAGTTTACTCTTCTTCTTCTTCCTCAATGTTTTATATAATAAACATGCACTTTTGTTCTATTCTGCTAATTAACAAGTTTGCTGAACATTTTATATCAACACTTTTGACTGCTGCCAGCCTGCCAGGCTGCTTTGTGTGGTGTGGCATATCAAACGCTCGACATTTTCACCCTCTGACGGAGGTTCTCGCACATTTGTCTGTCATGCTTGGCAAAAGAACGTCGCTGCGCTTGGTTTCGTGCGAAATTGAAAGAGATCCCAAATTCTTTTGACTGACAAATGTCTAAATTTTGCAGCACTTTTTTATATAAATATATACCGAATATATATATGTGCTTTATTTGATTGTTAAATATTTTTGTACTTATATATTATATATTGACCTACAATATTAATAGCACGGAAATATTTACAAAATAAATACATTCTTATGCACAAACAAATGGTATTTGTTTAATTAATTACATTGTTGTTATATAGGCCAAATGTAAAATGTTTACGAATCAAGTGAGAGTGCTCTGGTCGGGAGGGCTTGACCAGAAGATATCCTAAGTTCTACTAAAAAATTACATTTGAAATCATTTTCTCTTTTAATACATAGATAAATATTAACAACACATACACACATACATACGCACTCACAATCATGTTCTCTCCTTGAGCTACGCTAATGGTCTTTGTTATGTTTAATTACTGAATAACTTTTCTTCTATGTCGACTTTCTTAATCAAATTTAGAGTGTGATAATAACATTTATATGTGTTCTTTTGCTAAAGCACAATCCTTCAGTTCTCTAAATATGTTTTTACTATATTTGTACGAAAGGGTTTAGTAGAGCTGCAAAGCAATCGCTGGTGGCCTATTTCGCTGGCTCTTTTCATGGATGGTTTCATGGTAATCAAAAGTTTATTCAATAAATTTGTGTTTTGATACTTGTAGAAAAACTAATAAATATTTCCTAAAAATATAAAAGAAAATTGTAAATAAAAAAACAGCTTTCCATTGCTCTTAAAATACTGAAATGGTGACTATAAATGCAATTACGTGATTTTGTACAATTTATTAGACGGCAAAGATTAATTTATGTAATAATAATAATTAATTTGAATATTGATATTAAATTAAATCTTGGGCTAATATATTTCTCTTTTTCTAATCCTTATCTGTCTTCTAGTAAACAATAAGTAAATATTTTTTTTACAATAGCATTAATCAATTACCGATAAAAATAAATAATGATATATAATAAATAATATATATTTATTTTATTTTTTGTTTAATTTTTCATTAATTGAGGAATCTTATTAATCATGTCTTCCCATTTAATGGATTTTACCGAAAGACAGTTATATTTAATTTATTTCTAGGGTACTAGAAAAAATTTATTTAATTTTAACTTCCATATAAATTTACTTAGTAGAAAAAAAAAATTGAAAAAATTAAATAAAATCTATAAAATCTATGTATAAGTTGAGGTTTTCTCACGATATTCACGTTCCATATCAGCAGCATTAGCTATACTTTACGGAGCCTGTCACGCCCCCTTTTGTTTGTGTCATACATTTTCACACCGTAAACACCATAATGCTCTGGGTCAGGGTAATTTCAAGTCTACCTTCTGCTCCTCCAAAACTTCAGTAGCTGCGAGTAACTTAATTTACCAGTTACGAACAGTTGCTTAGGTCTAGTTGACTAGCTTTAGCTTTCGAGTTTGGTCGAATAATATTTAAACTATAATATTTGAGAAACTAGTCAAAATATATTTAGCTAGCAAAACCTAAGCATATTTCCTTAAATCATATACAGTGTAAAATAAAAACATCTTAAAAAAAAAAAAAGAAAAGTTCTAAGATAAGCGAATAATATTATTCGTAAGTGCCACGCCCAATCAATTTGTGCCATTCAATATTCTCATTGACTCTTTTCAGATAACATTTGAAATTCCTTGGAAGAACAAGTAATTAGAATGTTACCATGGCAACGTCTACGTCTGCGGCCCAAATATTGGTTCTATTTCCTATACAATGATCCATCGTTCGGAGAGTTCATGAAGTGTAGTGCATTCTTTGTTTTAGGAATATGTGTGCTGAGACGTCTAGGAAAGGGCTTTCCAAATCTGTCGGTCCAGTTTGAAAAGCTTCTGCAGTCCTAAGTTAAGTCGTATGCGGAATGGCATTAGGACTACACAAAGTTTATCTTTTTCCCTTAATTTGGCATTGCAAATTGTGTGAAACAATTGAGTATTATTTTCGTAAATAAATTTTTTTAATGAAAGCTTTTTACACAGATTACCAAGATGTATTCGTGGAAAGAGAACCGCTTGCTTTTGTTGCAAGTAATATGGGATTATTGATGGGGTTTCTGTTTAACAAATTGAAGAGATCTATTGGAAAGGGATAAATATTTTGTACACACATGTGATCTCCTGGTAAAGCTGGTTGATAGATGGCTAGTTATAGCTTAACATTTTGGATTGGCTCTCTATGATTTATATACTTAAAGCTGATTGGATAGTAATGAAAGCTGACTAGTAGTACTTTTTTTTATTGCTTGAAGAATAGTAAATAGTAGAGGATGGAAAGTTTGTATTAAGAAGTAATAATCAACAAATTAAGTTTATAAAGAATTGGGTTTTCATTTATAAAGTAAAAGAGTATATTTGCTTGTGATATTTCTTAGTCTTGTCCGTCCATCCGTCCGTCCATCTAGGGATAATGGATAATGCATAGTCGATTGCTAATTTTGCATCGTTTATTGTATATTTATAGAGGATTCATTACGTGAACCCTCTACAGTAAGAAATTCAAAATGGATTAAATAAATTACTGCAGATCTCTTTAATTTATTTGCTAATAGTAAGTATGTAAAATAATTGCCTTGTCCGTAGATTTGTGATAATGGATCGTGTATAGTAGATAGAGCATATAAGTGGGCTCATTAAGGGAATATTAAGAAATTAAAAATGGAGTATACAAGTTACTGCAGATCTCTTTAATTTATTTACACATTATATATAATATGTATATAAAGTAGTTAATCGAATAATAATATATCATTGATAATGGAATAGTTAAATTACTGCAGACCGCTTTGTTTTTGAATCGCGAATGTCAATTATGTCTTTGGTAGCACCCAGCAGCAACATTTCTGTTTGCTTGACATGCATTATTTGAGTTCCATTAAACATAAATTATATGTATAATTTTACTTCTGATGTCAAAGCATATTTCTCAAGAGTCTCCTCCAGCCTGGCTTTTCCTTTCAGTGGCGAGTTAATCAAAGCAAATCAAAAGTCCAAGAGCTTATGGCATTTGCAAGCTTTTTCATTTATGGCATCAGCTAGCTGACATCTACGCCCATTTTGGGGCTGGGGCGGCTGTCAATTTGAAGTCAGCTAAAACTCATATTAACTTTGGCCATCAGCAAATGCCTCACATAACTTCTACGCCCACTCTCCTGCCCGTCCTTTGTTGGGGCCTTAAAAAAAAATGTCCACTTCAAGGCGATGTCAGCCGGCTGTCAGCATGTCATATCAAAGGAAAGATATATGTATGTGTATATGTGTATATACATATGTTTTCCTTAAGAGCAGCCTCACGGTTATTAACGGTTAAGTATTATGCTTACAGATTACAATCGGAAAACGCGCATAAGGTTTACGATACGGCATTAGTTTGAGTCACATATACATACGTACATTAGATATATGAGCGGGGCACATAAAATTAGGTGCCTCCGCCCCCATTCCAGTCAGTCACCTGCTACGGCAGATATAAAAAACCTCCCAGGAGTTGGCTGGATGGCGCGCGGCAGCGAGGGGGCGGTAGGAAGGATGCCGGAAAGCAACGTCAACGGCACAGCCAACGGTTCTTGCTATCATAATTTCGAAATGACAGGTAATTTGGGCCACAACAACAGGCGGGTGGGCGTGGACGTGGGCTTTGGCATGCCGGGCAGGAAGACCCGAGATGAAGTGCGAGCGCCAAATGGGAAAATGATGCGAGTTTATTAAGTACCGTTACTCAAAGTGTGTACCGAAAATCCTCACAAGAATTTATGATGCGCAATTTTCCAAAAAAAAAAAAAAAAAAAAAAAAAACGAAAACTCACAAATTTATATTGTAAATATATGAAAAGGTGCAGACGTGGTGGGCGCGAGCTATCTGTGCTATCTCTAAATGATATAAGCACACGAACATGCAACTAATGAGTGGAGCTTGTGGAGCTCGAATTGCCCCACCCGCACCACCAGCACCTGTCCCATTCAATCAGAGCACTTGCTCTAGCTGCTGCCATAAACTCAATTCAGATGCTCGGCGTTTGTCTTAGCTTTAAATTTCAATTGAAATTTAGAGCGCAGCTACGTGTAGTTGGCTCATAAAAGCTGAAATTCCTTCGACTAGTGAATGAGAGTTCAACTGTCCTTAAATGCCTTTCTTTTATAGCCCAGAACGTTGTGCAATGGCAGAGCGGAAAAGTAAATCAAGTTTAATTTGAAATAAAGCTGTCACTGAGCTGTCATTGCATTAATCAATGTCTAAATAGAAAGGCTGCTCTGTGCGGGCTTATTTAAAGAATTTCAATTTGTTTTTCGTTTTGCCTAGAGCGAGAGTGAAAAGCCATTGATGAGTTTTAGTGAAACTATAGGAAATGAAGAAAAATACCTTATATATTACGCATGGAGATTAAATACAATCGACAGGGGATTATCCTTCCCAATAAATACACTCTGCAAAATAAAAAAATAAATAATAATAATAATAATAAAGTACCCCCTATGCACAGCTATGGAATCTATGAACTTAATAAATAAAATTAATAAATTAAGTTTTTTTTTAATACACAAAATACATATCTTTATATATTTAATAATTTGTAATTTTTTTTTTGTATTTATAATTGTAAATATTTTTGGTAAAAAGAAATTTTTTGTGTTTTTTATAATCATTTTCCAGCACCAAAGCATTATTTAAAGCATTAGTAAATATAATACAAAATATAATTGACATAAATTAATTAATTTAAATTAACCTAGTACTGTTTCTCTTAAATTTCTGCATAATGTTCATAATCAAATTTTACATAGTTTACTTTACCATTTATTTATATAGATAAATTTATCTTTATGTCATTTAATTTTTTTGTTCTGTTTAGTGGCATATATTATTTTTTAAATTTTACATTTACACATAAATTAATAATAAATTAATATTGGTTCTATAATGTATATTCAGTATTTCTAATTTTTATTGGATTGTGTATTATATATATTTTATAAATATTATTATTAAAATTTTATTATATTTTTTGTTTTTTATTATATATATTTTGTAAATATTATTATTATTATTTTATGATTACATTTTTAGATTCATTTCGAAAATGTAATAATAAAATAATAATAATGAAGTTCATTTATGTCTAAAATTGACAATGCTTAAACTCTGTAACATTTTATTTATTTAATTTTAATATTTATTAACAAATGGAAATTTTCACATTTATGAATTAAAGCCAGCTTAATTTTATTATATTTTCCCAGCAGTCTCAGTCTTCTTTGCTTAAGCATATTTTCGCCCTTAATTATATTTCAACATTCGCACAGCTGACTTTTGCATAAATACATATATATTATATTATATAATCCCTTGATAACCCCCTCGCATAAATCATTATGAGAAACCTTGTAGTATATTTTCTGCATTTAACGATTCACTGTTAAAAATGCTGCGCTATTGATGCCAAAATATTTATTGTAAGATATTTTTTCATAATGTGGGATTATCTGGGCACATGTCTTGCCACGATTTATGTGTGTCAAGAATCAAGCACACACACACATACAACACACAAAACGTAGAAGAAGACGGAGCAGAAAAAGATAGCAGGAAGTGCCAGCTTTAAGCTCTTAGGAAATTGAATTCTTAAGCTTTATTGTTTTACTGGCCTCCGCTCCTGGCTGCCATGTTGTAGGCCGAAAAAGGAGCGCATGCAAAGCAAGGACTTGCTCGGCGAGAACATGGAAGTGAATAAAACTGCAGCAAAAGCAATTTTCATAAATATTTAATGGATAACGGCGGAAAAAATGAGCAGGGAACGGGACAGAGCAACACTGAAACGGGATGGACGATATCTGAACAGAGATGCAGATGTCCTGACTTGTCTCTGTCCTTTCCGTGTATTGTAATGTATCGCATAGATATATGAGCTGCACATATGTCACACACATACACATACACTTATCAATATATATGCTATATATCAGCTTTGTGTATGCCTATATACTATATATAAATCTCGGCTTTTAGTTGGTATCATTAAACGGGATTTCATGCTGCCTCCTCCCTGGCTGACTGCCTGCCTGGCTGGCCAAAGTCCTTCAAGGGAAGGCCATTACAGCCGGCAAAAATCATAACAATAAAAGCGAGACACCCAGCCAGGGGAGTACTGCATAAAGAGGAGAGTGCTGCGATTCGAGGGAGGGGCGTGACAGTTGGGGGCTGGTAGCTGCTCTTACTTAATCGATGATGATGAATAATTGATTCGTGCGAAGCGCCCAAGCATGGAAATGAAAATGTCGGTTGGCTGGTAGATTGTTCTCCCTCCCGCCTCGCCATTCTCTTCCTCTCTCTCTCTCTCTCTTTATATACACATCAATGTGTGTGTGTGTGTGTGTGTGTGTGTGTGTGTATGTAAGAGTGTGTAACGAGTGGCAAATTTCAGGAAACGGAAATGGCAATTGCAGGCAACGCAAATGTGAAGTTGTGCGCTAAATGAAATGCCAACACAGCAACACGGCAAGAAACACGGAAACAGAAATGTGGACAGCAAATTTACAGCAACAAAACCAAAAGAGCTGAGACCAGCAGCTGAGGCGAGAGAGAGAGAGAGATAGTGAGGGAAAGCTGCCAGAGCTCCGGCAAAAGAAAACGAAACGCCAAGTTACACAATTCGCTCGGTATTTAAATTTGATTCTCAAGTTCTCCATTTAAATGGTTTTTCGAGAGCGAGAGGAAACTGCGAAGCACAAAGGTAAATACAGCAAAAGTTTTTAGATCAACGGCAGGCGAAAGAGTAAGCATGGTAAATAGCTAAGCCGAGTGGCTAAAGCTAATATTGCAAACTGATGGTTAAGTATTATATTTAATGAGATTTCTATTTAAGAAGTGAATTGTTTATCTGATGAATTGCTTTGCGAGCAAAAAAAAAAACTGCTTAAAAATTCTTAATCGAATGGATTTTTATATGAAACAGCCAATATTTAAGATTTTTTTAATTAAAAAAAAAA